ATATTTAAAAAATAATGTTTAATACAAATATTGTTCTGTTAAACATAAGACATAACATAATATTATCGTTTTTATGAARTATCTGTTCTTAAAGTATGATAATTTTGCCATGGGACCGTACCTTGTGGGGAATTGAAAAATTGTTTGAACTCATCTCTTACCATAAAGCCTTCATAATTACCATAACCTCCCGTACGCTCAAGTTGAATCATATTGTTCGGAGGAGAATCATTTGGATCATAATTATATGTATAGTATCRTTCTGTTGTATTCTTTATTTTATATTGGTTACGTAAAAGATTATGTAGGCAGCACGCAGATAACACAAGGTGATCAACAGTTTGTGTTTTTAGTGGAATAGGGGTGTAAAAAACTCTAAACACCTGACTCAGAAGTCCAAAACTATTTTCAGTAGTTCTTCTAGCCCGTGAAAGACGATAATTAAAAACTTTTTTCTCACTATCATTTCTGGATTCAATTTTCGAGTATGGTCGCATCATATGAGGGTCTAAACGAAAAGCTTCATCGCCAATGAAAACATATGGCAATATTTTGTCTGAATTTGGAACTTTAGCATTAGGAGGAAAATAATCACCATTTTTCATTTTTTCTGAGATTTTTGATTTTGTAAATATACCGCTATCACCCTCTTTGCCATAAGATCCGATGTCTACATAAATAAACTTACAGTTAGCATCTACAATCGCTAACAAAACAATTGAAAAAAAATCTTTATAGTTGAAAAACAACGATCCGCTATTCTTTGGTGAAAAAATACGAATATGTTTGCCATCAATGGCACCTGCACAATTCGGAAAATTCCATTTTTCCCAAAACTCTTTCGATATTTCTACCATGTCATTTTTGGTTGGTGGTGGTAATAATATGGGTGTCAATCGATTGCTCAAACTTTTCAATACTAGTCTCACAATACKCGTAATATAACTTTGGGAGATGCGAAAAGCAAAAGCTAGGGACCGAAAAGATTCTCCAGTCGCCATAAACCTGTTGAAAAAAAATTAAATTATAAAAATACTTGAATTTGTTGACAGCAATAAACATATAATATAAA